TGGATCTAGCCTGCAAACAGACGGGGTACCACCGATCCAGCCCACAGGGAAAAAGGTTGGGGCACCACTGTCCTGAACTGATCTTCAAAACCTAGCAGGAAGAGATCCAAATGTTTACCCTTTTTTTAACACTACTTACAAATCCATTAAATATGAGTTTTGTTTTTTTCCAATATGGAAATAATTTGTATTTGTAGGTGAAGGGCCTTAATGTTGGCTCAAAATATAGTAATACCTGTGAAATAAGAGACTTTGGAGAAGTGATTTCAAAGGCCTTTTAAAGGAGCATCTTAGAAATGCATACCAGAAGCAAGTTTATTACTGCATTTGCAGGTGGATCCACTGAGAAGTCTGCAGCTGAGCTGGTTTACACAAAATTAATGTAGGATAGAAAATCTTGTATGTTCATTGCTTTGTATTGCACTCAGATACAGCTGATACAACACAGAATAAGAGTTACAAGAATCAAAGTGGTCTCAGATCAAACATGAATGGCTAGAATTTGTAAGGTTTAGAAATGGTTACAGGCTGCTTATATGCTGTACATTTTGTCCAAAACCCATTTCATCTATAGGTATCTGAATGTTAGTTAGCTGTCTAAAAGCTGATGCATAAGCAATGTTTAGGGCACTTTTGCAGAATTTAGACACTATTTCCACCTGAACAACTGGGCTTGTCCTTTTCAGAGTTCTCAGACGGGATTAACAGAAGTCAAAAAGTGAAATAGGATTTGGGCCTTCAAGGTCAAATAAGGTTTTCTTCATGTTGTTATGCCCTGCATCACCAAAAGCCAGGATCTTGCTATTCTGATGACCTCTATAGTATTTATTATCTGGTAAAAGTAGGACATAGTACATATGATGGTGTGAGATTCACACACATTGAAAATATTACAATAAAATTACAAACCAGAGCACAATAATCCAAAACACAGCAAGAATATTGAGGCAATATTGCTTTAGGCAGTAGCAAGAGCAAAAATATTTTCATTTACTTTGAGGGCATGAGGCCAGAGGTCAAAAATCTGAACGTCCAGTCTCTTGTTGAAAACAAATTGTACATGTGGCTCATAGACAAACTATCAGCATTTTTTTTTTTTACTCTACATGTATATTCTCTTATTTTTCACGATTTTAAACTTATATTTATCATAGCATCATAGGAAAGTAGGGCAGGAAGGTAATCTAGTCCAGCCCCCTGCTGGACAACTCCCCACTACAAAAACCCCAAATCAAGGCAGGATCATCCCTGACTAAACTATTTCAGCCAAGTGTCTGTCCAACCTGCTCTTGAAAGCGTACAGGAATTAAAATTCTACAATGTTTCTAGGTAGCCTGTTCCAGTGATTAACCACTTTCGTAGTCAGAAATCTTCAATCTAAATTGCCTCTGCTGTAGCCTGAGGCCATTGCTCCTAATCCTGTCCTTTGTGGCCACAGAGAATATTCTATCTACATCCTCTCTGTAATCACCCTTCAGGTATTTGAAGAGTGTTATCAAATCTTCCTCATCTTCTCCACAATAAATAGCCCTAGTTGTTTTAGCCTGTCCTCATAAGTCATGCTTCTGAGGCCTCTAATTATTTTTGTTGCTCTGAGCTGCACTTGTGATACACTGTCCACATCCTTCTTAAAGTGTAGGGCCCAAAACTGGACACAGTACTCCAGTGCTGAATAGACCAGAAGAATCACTTCCCTAGATTTGCAAGTGACAATCCTCTTAATACAACCCAGGCTACTGTTGACTTTTTTTGTAACAGGAGCACACTGTTGGCTCACATTATGATCCACCATACCCCCAGGTCCTTCTTATGCAGTAAGTCAAGTCATTATTAGTATAATGGATTGCTGTACCCTACTTTAGTTGGAGAATAGGTCAAAATATCTTTTTTCATACAGCCTCCCCCACCTAACCCCATTCTTCCCCTCCCCTGGAGTCTTCAGGAAGAAATCCTTGGTAGCCCAGCTGTGGAGTCAAGCAACTAGGGAGTGGGGAGAGGTGATAATAGGTGATACTAGAGCTTGTACAAGGCCTCTTTTTGGATGGCCCGATCTTCCTGAGAGATTCTGACTTGTGATTATGCTCTGTAACTTTTTCTGCCAGAGCTTTTAGAGCACATCTCTGCACAGAGAACCTCATGGAGAGTCACTCCTGTGAGTCCTTTCAAGAAGACTTTTCTACAAGAGCGG